TTATAATTAAAATATTATAACATATATAGTATCTAGAAAAAACCCTAACCCCGCCTCCCCATTCCTCTCTCGAACTTTCTCAGTTTCGGCTGCTTCTCCCACTCTCCCTCTAACTCCTCTCGTTCTTCTCTCGAAAATCCTTTCGGACGACGGCTGGAACAACTTAGGGTTTGCCGTCTCCGTTCGTAATATCTACTTATTCTGCTCCTCGTATAGTTAGTGTTGGCTTGATTGCTCGGTATTCTTGCTTGGTCGCTCGTTTGGCTACCTAGGTATTATCTCTGAGTATCTTCTCTCTAATATTTCATATTATCTTCTGGTTCGACTCTTATCTTATATTTACTCAAATTTATTTTAGATTTATTTGGATTTTTTTAGAGAAACCTAGCTTTGTAGGGTTTTAGCCGAATCACAGTGCGGTCTTGCATATTGCATCTATATATTTGTTTTTTTTATGTATGAGAATATGATATCTGATATAAGTGTTTTGTTGTGAAATTTAGTTCTGTGTGCATTGTGTGGTGAATCATTATGTGGTTCGGCTATTGCTTCTAGATCAGAATTTTTGGGACTGCTTTATAATGATAGACATATCATAATGGAGACATATCATAATGAAAAGCATTACATATTCACTAGTGATTCATATGTGGTTCGGCTATTGCTTCTAGATCGGAATTTTTTTGTGAAGAATACTATGCTTCTTCCCTTTAGCTTTTCAAAACAATAACATCTGTTTTTCAAGCGTTTTGTAAGATGAATACTTGAGATCATGCTTGGATTTTCATTATGTTTCGTTGTTAGGATTTTCAAGTGAGCTAATATAAATTGGTGTAGATATCCTGTGCGGTTTTCTAGGTCGTTTATTATCGGAGCAATGTTTAATTTCTCCTATTTTATTAGTTGATGTAGAGATCCAATTGATATTCTTGTATTTTCATCTATTATTTCCATGTCAACATCATACATGCTACAATAATGTTTATAGAGCAAGATCCGTGTATGTTTATAAGCAAGAAAATGAATTCTAAGTTCTTGCGTATCAATTTTATGAATACTTGAGTTCAAGTTATGTAAATCAGCCTTGCAGGTGAGGAAATATAAGCATCAATTTTTCTAAAATATAAGGTAAGAGATGTGAGTGAGGGAATGAGATAATGATATTTCTTTTTATGTTGATTTTTTCCCTTTGTATTTTGATATTCTCTCACACAGTTGATGTAGAGATCCATTTGCTATATTTTGGCCCTTAGGTATTTGCACATCTAACACTATCAGCTTTAATCTTTTTGTGGATATATAATTTACTGTTTTTAAGGGGGTTTGGTGCCCCATTTAAGTGCTGGTTTGCCCATCATTTTGAGGCTTTTAAATTGTTGTATGGAGGCTTTTAAAGTAGTTGTTTGGAGCTTTTAAATTGTTATATGGAGGCTTTTGAAATATTTGTTTAAATGCAGTATGCAGACTTGCTACCTTTGAATCATGTAATGGTTTATTTTTTTGGATCAATGGTTAGGCTGGGCTTGTTTATGAGCATGTCCTTCGGGAGGGTAAGAATTTTGCTGCTACAATGCTACCTTTTTACAGTGAAGCAGGTGACAGGAACCAATAATGTTGCAAATCATAGAAGAAAAATAATGTTGGCATTGTCATATTATTAGCTGCTACTATGAATTCTGCTGCTTGTTTAGGAGCATGTCATTGAGGATGGCTTTGTATTTGGAACTCTTCTTTTTGTATGTCCTTGGGATGAATCTAGGATGAATCTGCTAGGTATATGCTTCCAATAAAAATTGTAGGTATATGCTTCCAATACAATACATCAATTCTATATTAAAAGGGTTGTTGCATATATTACAGGAAATAAAATGTCTTTCCCAAAATCATTTATATATCTTGAAGCCCAAATGTGTACAAAAGCCTTAAAAGTATGTTTCCACACTGCATTTTGAATGCTTACAAACAACCATCTAGTAAATATCTTAAAGACTTCTACCTGTGCACAATTGGAAACCTGGAAGTTTGTTTCACCGACATTCATTTAGTTTTACTTTGGTATTAGTTCAATTCTTATGTTTCTCATTATTTGTCCTCCTTGCATACCACCTGTTCTGAAAGCTTTGGAAATGCTTTGGAAACATTATTTCTCCTCCTTGCAGACCACTTGTTCTCAAAGCTGAAGAAGAGGTAAAATACATAAGAACTGGTCCCTTTATAGGTGTTGTTGCATTATGTACTTTATCACTTCAACTGGTTTCCCAAAAGCTCAGGAAGTTTGGTCCCTTCGGCGATGCTATTGGAGATGCTGTTGCATTTTTTAACATGTATCAATTTTTTTTGGAAACCTGAAAGTTTGTTTCAAGAACATTCATTTAGTTTTACTTTGGTATTATTTCAATTCTTATGCTTCTCATTATTTGTCCTCCTTGCATACCACTTGTTCTCAAAGCTTTGGAGATGCTTTAGAAACATTATTTCTCCTCCTTGCAAACCACCTGTTCTCAAAGCTGAAGGAAAGGTAAAATACATAAGAATTGGTCCCTTTGTAGATGTTGTTGCATTTATGTACTTTATCACTTCAACAGGTTTCCCAAAAGCTCAAAAAGTTTGGTCCCTTTGGAGATGCCGTTGCATTTTTTAACATGTATCAATGTTCTTTGGAAACCTGGAGGTTTGTTTCTGCGAAATTCATTTAGTTTTACTTTGCTATTATTTCAATTTTTATGCTTCTCATTATTTGTCCTCCTTGCATACCACCTGTTCTCAAAGCTTTGGAGATGCTTTGGAAACATTATTTCTCCTCCTTGCAGACCACCCGTTCTCAAAGCTTTGGAGATGCTTTGGAAACATTATTTCTCCTCCTTGCAGACCACCCGTTCTCAAAGCTGAAGGAGAGGTAAAATACGTAAGAATTGCGTGTCACATGTAAATTTCCCATAAATTTATCTAAATGTACGGAAAAATAAAAAATATTTGCCGTGGGATTTCAGGTGCAGAGTTCCAGTTCTGGCTGAGATTAATAGGATTGTGAGGTCAAGAGGCAAATTGATAGTCAGGGATGAATCTACTATTGCCAGTGAAGTGGAAAACCTGTTAAAGTGAAGATTTTAACAAACTTCAACAAAAAATAAAGAAAGAAAAATCCCTGTAGAAAAATCAAATTATTTTTAGTTTTAGTATTTGAGTTGTATGTAAAGGATAAGAAAAATTAAATGTTCAATACAATTATTTTTTAGATTTTAATATTTATTTTGAGATTTTATTTGTATTTTTTGTACTCTTGTTTAGTTTGTATATTTTAAAATTTGTAATAAATTGATTGTTATTTTATAATTTTTTGTCAAATTATATAAATATTCATGTATAAAATTTTGTAAAATTTTTTGAGCTCATCATTTTTTTAAGTTAATAAATTTCTGAATTTTTTATAAAATTTGTTCTTAAAAATTTTTAGACAATTATTTTTTTAAAAAAATAATATTTATTAAAATAATTTTATACTAACGAGCTAATTTAACCCGAACACGAACATGAAAATGTCATTCAAGCCGAACGCGAACGCACTGTTCACGAGTCATTTCAAACACGAGCTGATTTCGAACATGAGCCAGATTCGGACGAGCCGAGCCTGAGCTCGCTAGGCCTGGCTCGTTTACAGCCCTAAGGCAAAGAGGGCAGCTTTAGAGAGAGAGAGAGGGTGAGGAGAAGAAAAGAGAAAAATGTTTATTTTAGCCTGTGCCTAGTTTAACTGCTCTAAATTTTGACAAAGTTAAAATAGGCTCGGGACCAGCTGAGCCCCGTCAAATTTATATTTTT